GCCTTCCCGCCTGATCTGAGCAGAGGTTTTACCAGTAAAGAACAGCACCAGTGGTGTGCAGTGCACTTGATCTGATAGTGGTGGCCATTCCTCATGAAATTGCATCATCACTAGCCCAAGTCAAATTTTGGTGCTTCTCTCTGTGAATATATTGTTTGTGTATGTTTTCAAGAAAATGAATGAATAAGCAAATCTCATGTAAAACAACTGACCAGTTTGCATTTAAATGTTTTTTTTTTTCAGGGTGTTCAAAATCGCTAATGTCTAGATGTTCTGCTTTGTTCCTTTTTTTGTTCAATGTGTTTGATAAAAATCAGATTTTTGTCTTTTTGGATACCAGTTTCACTTCTCTAATAATGTACGCCAGAGCTCTAGGGAAAAGTTATTAGATTTATTTATTAGATGGTACGTTGAATGAAGTGCAGTCGGCACGGCTGCGGGAAGAGGAGGCATTATGTGGGACATTGACACACATTCTGACAACAGGAGCATTCATTCATGCAACATTAATGATCAGTGAAGCTGCACACCTCCAGACATTGCACAATGAAATTGAATGTATCTTATTAAAAGAGACATGTGTAAAAACCCCTGTTCAGTATAATGTTCTTTCATTATTTATTTGCCACCCATTTTACTTAATTTTACTTAATGATAATATAAATATTAACTGCCTCTATTATTACTACTACTTGAACAAATAATACAAATTAAGTGTACTAATTATAACTACTGTAAATAATAATTTTACAGTTTAATATATTCATACATTTAATTATTATAGTGTTAACAATAATATCTGCTATGATGAAATAATAAAACTAAAGATTAGAGCTCATCAAAATATTGATTCCTTTAAAAAATAATGCTTCAGACAATTGTTATTAATTTAGTAGATGAATGATATTTATATGCAGATGAACTAATAACAGTTTTAATTCTTATGTTACATGAAAATTCTCAGCCAGATAATGAAGAAAAAAAGACCCTGGTTTTACAAAAAGTCTAAATGTGTCATGTGTTCGAATTATTCATCTACCAAAAATAAATACCTTCTTTGAAGAATGGGGCAGACAAAATACCTTAATTTATTTGTTTTAATTAACTTGCTTATAATTTATTAGATTTGCATAGAATTTATTTGAAATTCTATATACCCACCAAGAGAAACGCATGCACACACACGTTGGGGTTTCAAGTTTTATGGGGACATTCCATAGACATAATGATTTGTATACTATACAAACTGTAGCCTATATTCTATCCCCTAAACCCCTCACAGAAAACTTTTTGCATTTTGACGTTTAAAAAAAAAAATCACTTAGTAAGATTTAGAAGCTGTTTTCCTCATGCGGACCAAAAAATGTCCAGAAGGTCAAGGATTGCCATATTTGTGGGGACATATTGTCCCCATAATATAGGGTTTACCTGAATCACACGCACACACACACACACATGAATGCACAAACTCCATTACAAGGCCTTTCACTCAGGTGTTACATGAATGGCCACACATTCCTGAGTGCTCTTTCCCCTGAGCTTTGTCTAAAGTCAAAGTTGATGTGAAACGATAAGGTTAAAAGAGAAAGGAAAAGCTTATATCACTGTGGGCTGCATGTCATACTGGGACAAAGCTTTTTAAACACCCACTGCCTCCCTTTTCTGGTGGGCCAAAACAGAAACAAATGAAAGGCACTGTATTCAATGCCATGTCATTTTTTTTTTAATATGTTACAAACACAACAAAATACTTCATATTCAGGACCCCAACCAATACAAACACACCACCTCCGTGCCGAAAATCCACAAAAACACGCTCTCAGTCCTTAACATACACGCAGTCCCCACATGTTGCAGTGCAAACAGTCCTTCTGGTAGGCACTACTGCTGATTTGACTTGGAAAACACTTTCACCCCAACCCCGTGGTCACGGACCGTTGCATCGGGACCGAGGACGGTGCTGTTTTTGAGCACATATAAACCACCAAAAAGGCAGACAAGAAACCACCACACATAGAGGCCATCACATGTCACAATGAGCCAGACCAACTCCCCAAGACCCTATTCTATTCAAATGAACAGCTTTGAATGCCATTTTCCTATTCTGATGCCATTGATACGGACGTTGGCTTTGCTGACAATACAAATGCATCGACTGGACGGACATATCACAGCCGTTCATTTAATGCAGGCTCAACAGACGTAAAAAAGCTCTCAAAACAAGGGTGAACACGGAGAACACGGCGAGACCAGCCTATTCGAGGAAAACATGGCACTTTGGTCCATTCCATTTGGGCGTTTGACACACACAGAACTGTACAGTCAAAACATGACGATTAATCGAATTTAAACATCACTATGACGGGTAATTAAATAGAAAAAGTGTTTTTTTTTAAGGCGGTGCTGCACACGTGCAGTCGTGACAGGAGGAAACATGACAAACACCTTAATCTTAAAGCCACCATTGAAACGGAGGAAAGTGAAAACACACTTGCTCACGCGCCCACATCTGTTTAGAATTAATTCCTATGGAAAGTCAAGTCAAATGTCACATGGTTATCTTAAGCTGACTGTGTGCAATCAGGCTGAAGACAGGAGCACGGAGCACGGTAACACTGCACAGGGGCTGCGGGTGGACCGGGCCGAGGTGCGAGCCTCACTTTAAAGGCCGGCTGACCATAAGCAGACTGTTTTCCTTCGTGTACTAGAACTAGTATGTTTTAAACGCTCAAAGCCAAAGGTAAGCACCAGTTTCTGCTCGTTCTTCTGGTAGCCTACAGCGAATCTCTGGCTGCTCAACACCTCGCAATCTGCATTCATGAAAAAGAAACAGCGAACAAAAACATCAAGCGAAAAAGTCAAATGGAGAGAAAGGTTAGGGGATTATATATAAAAAGACTAAATTATCTGATATGTCGCTTCAAATGACTCGGAAAAAGGTCTTTCAAATATTTAGCGGAAAAATAAGAGTATAGTCTGAAAATGCGTCTGGTTGTTGTTAGACTTTGGTGTTTTAGAGAAGCTTTAAAAGAGCGTTGAAAGGACTGACAGCAAACGACCAATCAAGAGCTGAAGCGGAGGATGAGAGCCTGAGGTGCAACCCAGACTGAAGGAGTGTAACAAATGCCTTCACTGTCTTTAAGTCAACAAAGTTAGATAAAACATGACCTTTAAAGAGAAGGAGGGAAATGTGAACTGGTCAGGGTGGATTTTAACGGATGACATTGTTTTAACTTATCCAACAAGTTATCTTTAAGCAACACAGAGTTTGTTTGTCCTGACAAGGCCACAGCGCTTCATATTTTTATTATGACAGCATCGAGAGGCCTTCTTGATTGTTTAGATTTTATTAGCATTTTTCAGTTTTGTTTCAAGTTGTGCTGAGCTATGATGAATCAGCCTGAAGGCCAGGAGAGATGAGTGAGAGTGAGTGTCTTGGCTCATGACGCTATATGATGACATACTGGATTATGAAGGAAGAAAAAAACGAGAGAGAGAAAAAATAAATAAATAAATCAGTGATTGTCACCACAGAGATTCCTCCCCCACTGTAATCTGTTATTACCAGTAACAAAGAATTACAAGTTACAAACCTCAAAATACAGATGATTTAAATTCAAAATGAGGGCCAATGCTTATGGAAACCCTTGAAAAATATGAGAATTGAGAATTTTAAAATTTTCCAGTCCAGGCCTATAGGAAATAAGTCATGGAAATTCATAAAATCCTGAAAAGCTATATGTTTTTTTTCCAAAAACATTTACTCTGCTAGCAAATGATTAGTAGTTTTTACAATCTTCCTCCAGGAGTTAGCCATTTTACAATGAAAGAGTTTTATTTCCAAGGCACCAACAAACAGTTCCACCGATTTATCGTTTATTAGCAAAACACAGCCATTGCATGAATGATTTTAACCACTTTGGGATACAAGACCTTGTAATTGCTGTTTTACAATTATTTTTTATGACAAAATGCTTTTGAAATCACAGAATACTTCAGTTTAATTTTAATTTCCATAATTCAGTTAGTGCTTTTGTCTAAATTTGCCAATTTAACTTTTCCTAGGTAAGATATGCCGAACATATTTTGAAGTGTCATTGTAAATGTTGTTTACACTCCGAATTTTGAAACATTGCTAGAGTTTGACTTTGAGAGTATTGGAAATTCTGGTCTCAGAAATCCAACATAGAACAAATTTACAAACTAAATCTAATAAAGTCACAGTCCTCAGTTAGCCATCCAAAGATAGTAGACGGATCCCTCAGGCTTCAGTAATTCAGTCTTAATTTAAAGGGATAGTTCACCCAAAAATGAAAATTAAGTCATTAATTACTCACCCTCATGCTGTACCAACCCCGTAAGACCTTCGTTCATCTTCGGAACACAAATTAAGATATTTTTGATTAAATCTGAGAGGTGGATCACTCCTCCATAGGCTTCATAAGGGAGTGAAACTTGACGGCCCAGAAATTCATTGAAGAAAATGTTAAAATATTTCATGTGCCTACAGTGGCTCCACTATAAGTTTATCAAGCGACGAGAATACTTTAGCCACTGTAGGCACATGAAATATTTAAACATTTTCTTCAATGACTTTCTGGGCCGTCAAGTTTCACTCCCTTATGAAGCCTATGGAGGATTGATCCACCTCTCAGATTTAATCAAAAATATCTTAATTTGTGTTCCGAAGATGAACGAAGGTCTTACGGGGTTGGTACAGCATGAGGGTGAGTAATTAATGACTTAATTTTCATTTTTGGGTGAACTATCCCTTTAAGTTAAAAATGAGGTGCTGTATCTATTTGGTATTTTCAGTTAGGGTGTGTAGAGCTGGTTATTACATATTCTGGCACGTGGACAGGTAACTCTCAGATATGTTCTGGTATAAGTGTTGGAATGTCAAGTATAGATCCAGGGAGTGACTGTGCTGTTGTAAAGCATTAATGGTGGAGAGTCTACATGTCACATGTCTGATGAACTGTGATTTTGATAGAGGTAGTGTGATTGCTGAGGAACTCTGTTTGATAGACCTGGGGGACGATGGAGTAAAGACTGATGGTGATGTGCAGATTATCACCAGTTCTTCTGCAACCAGCCAGATACATATTCATAAACCAGCAGCATAACTGCGCCTCCTATATTCAGAAAGTAAATGTCAATTAATAGTCATGGATAATTGTCAAATGTTATAGTTCACTAAATATTAAATTTCATCATTTACTCACCCTTATTCCAAACCTGTATAACCTCCTTTTTTCCACAGAACACTATCTATTTTGAAGAATTTTAGTAGCTAAACAAGTTTTGGGGAAAACTGTCTTCCATTGAATGGACAAAATAATTTTTTTTATGTTCCACGGAAGAAAGGAAATCATATAGATTTGGAACGACATGAGGGTGAGTAAATGATGATAGAATTTTCATATGTGGGTGAACTATCCCTTTAATATAGGAAAACTATATACTAATTTATGTTACCTGGTCCAAGCCTCATTATCTTGGGTATCAGTCCTTTGTATAAGGCAAGATATCTGCAGAAATAAAATGTTAGACAGTTACATTTACTGTAAATTAATGACGTAGTTATAAGCCCGTATGACTTGCTTTTTTCTTTGGAACACAAAAGGTTAATGCTGCTCTTTTCCATACAGAACGCAGTGACTTCAAAAAGCAAATCAGAGCATCATAAAAATAATCAATACTACTTGTGCACTACATTTAAAGTAATGGACTAAAATTTTAATAGCTATTTAAATATCAACAACATCAAATGCAATTGGTTCTCACAAGGCAAGTTTGAAAATGCTTTAATTTTGTCTTTTATTCACACGCATTTACATAGAGCTCATCAATATGGCAAACAAACGCTCAGTCATACTTGCTTGACACGTGAGAACAAACCTCGAGTTCTTGAGCAAGCTCAAACGTGGAGCTTCCGTTTACCATATTTGACGTGCATATGGATTGCTTTTACAATCCTTTTATGAACTTTTTCAAAAGTCAAAGTTTTGGTGGAATTGACATTCAATGGAGGTAAATTTCTCAGGTTTCATTAAAAGTATCTTTATTTGTGCTTCTAAGATGAACAAAAGTTCTGTGGTTTTGATTGTTCTCTCACACAGATCTATCACGTGGCTTCAGAAGAATCAAGTCATACGGATGACTTTATTGGAACTTTTATGTTTGATTCCTGTTTGGAGCTTGCAATTCACTTCTTTGTAAAGAGCAGCATAAACGTTTTCTTTTGTGTTCCACTGAAGAAATTCGGTCATACCGGTTCAGAACGACACGAGAGTGCCTAAATGATGACAGAATTTTCATTTTCTTTTGCTTATCTCTCCATTTAAGGTACTGTAAGTCAACTCTCTCTCAGGCTCGGTCTGTCTGTGAAGCTGGATCAGGTATAGTGCAGTAATAGCTGTTCTAGTTGTGTACCTGCCCTAATGCGTTCAAGCTGATTTCTGGCCGTCTCCCTGTCCCAGCCTCTGTCCTCTGCTTGTGCTGGTGTTAATAAGGCTTGAGCCACTTCCTCTCTGCCCCGCTGTCTGATTAGACTGACCCGCTGAGCGCCGCGCGCCTCGTTAGGACCTGCTTAACGACGTCTCCCATAGGGACCACTAATTAGCCAGGACTGTGTCGTGTTAGAGGGCTGGACAGGATGGGGTACCCTCTCAGCACCCCTAAAACTAAAACAGCTTCAGTGTCTCTCTCTTTAATACACACACACACACAAGTACAGGCCTCAATTCCCTGCCTCTAATAACAAACGAGTTGCCGTTCCCTTTGTACAGGGTGAACGGGGCCAATCAAGGCCATAAAACTACTGATTCTTTCACAGCTTCCCATGAGGCCTGTCAATTCAGAAGGAGAGAGAGACAGAGGGACGCTATGGGCACTATTAGAGTCTCCACTATAAGAAACAACAGCTTTTCAATGAATGTACACAAGCTCTTATTGCATAAAATCCTTAAATGCCAATTTAAGCAATTGTTCAAATTCTTTTTTTCTGACTCTTTTTTCTTCAAATATCAATACACAGCAAAACATAAAAAAATTATAATAATGAAAGGTTATGCAGCATAATTGTAGCTCCCTGATATTTTTTACTTTATGCCTTATATCAAACCTTATATCATAATTGAGCCTTATAATATTGACCCAGTTATTACTGCATGTATTGAGTTTTAGGATGTTATATGCACACGGTATAGAGAAATGGAATAAACATAAACATAACCCATATCCAGTTTATGGATTCATATCAAGTATCCACTAAAAAAAAGAAGTTTATGTAATATAAATACATCTAGACAGAAGAAGTGACACAAAGTACAATTCCCGGATATGACAACATAATTACACTGCTATTTAGAGGGTGCTTAAATATGCCGGTTGTCAAAACTTGCCCTCTTGTCCCCTGTGGGCAGAGGATAAACACAAAATGTTGTGTCATTTTTCTTGTAGGTGAACCTCGTAGCAGTTGAGGTTGGTTTAACATCTCCTGCCGGGTGTAATTCTGACACCTGTAGTTGTTGGGTGATGGTGTAGACTCAGGCCTTACCCTTCTTCACGGTACACAAGGCCCATGGTCTGAAAGCAGCTACGGTACTTGATCTCCCCGGGAACAGGCTGAGGACCCTGTATACGGCTTTTAGCGACATCAAAAGGAATATTCACACAGGACGAGACTGTTCCCGAAACCAAACCGATGGCAAATTTCCTCATGAATTCCAGTCGAGGGTCCTGGCATATGGACAGAGAGATAAATTCAAGGTAAAGAGAGAGAGGCCTTTTGTTTATACAATGAATAATGATGATCAACACACATTTTTCGCATTTTCTGGTCTAAAGAGAGGAATACTCTACAAGTTCAAACTGCACTTGTGGGACAATGTTGATTACCACAAAAAAAGGACTCGTCCCTTAAAAAAGGGTTGTAAAATTGGATATAACTACACAGGAAAGACTAATACAAGATTTTTTTCACACTAAAATCATTTTAACATTCATATTGTTTTCGTCTTGTCACTATATTATTGAAACAGTGAGTTTTAACATTTCCGGATTGGCTCCATTCACTTCCATTGTAAGTGCCTCACAGTACCTTTTGCTTTTATTAAAGAAAGGGACAAGGTACAAGTCAAAATAAGTTTTTGTAGTATCAACATAATGCCACAAGAGTTGTCAATTGCCTTTAATGACAAATAAAACAGTTACTGTTTGATGACAGTTTTATAGGTAGAGCCATAAAATTCAAAATTTTGAGATAACACTCTAGTTGATACGAAAATGCAAATTAACAAACACAGAGACAAACGTAAAGCAGATAAAAGAGCTAATAGAGATATGAAAATGGAGATGGAAAAAAACGAGCGAGGAAGGAGTAAAAAAAAAAAAAAAAGAAGCGAGAGAATACGAGAGCTGAAATATAAGCTCAGATCATTTTATGGTAGCGGGGCGCAGATTAGCGTTTCATTAGAAGAGCGAGGCTCTACAATTGGCTGAAGTGGGTCATGTGACCAAAGGCAAACTTTGGGAGAGGATTTATAAACAGAGTCCATACAGGCAGACTGGGAGGCATATGGGGCCAATTTGGGTAATTGGGCTGCGACTCGACACTGGCGTATTACTGTACCAAAAGAAGCCCGAACCAGCGCAGCTCTGACATCTAATTGGCCAGGATATTTTTTACAAATGACAGAAGCCCAGCAGTGACACGCAAGATCGACAACTAAACCTGAACATCGCATTATAGGGGAGGAGCATGGCTGTGCAACAACAGAGCTCCGCCTTAAGTATAGCTTCCACACCAAACACTCCCTTCAACGACATTACATTTGCAGCACACTGTCCCGAATGCTCACAGAAAGGAGTCGTCGGTTTCATAGCAAATGCTGCTTAAATCTTGAAGTCTGTGAGGGTTGATGGATTGACACCCCTGGAGAAGGATCATTGATTTGGATCCTAATCCCAATAGAATGACTGGCTTCTTTGAAAATAGATAGGAAAAGTAGATGCTCATACCTAAAAAGCCATACACTTCCCTGAGATCATTTGCAATAGACAGTCAAATCAGGGTTGGTGAGCTCTGCCCTTTCGCATGATTGAGCACTGGAGGTTTCTGGCTTCTCAGGCAATGACGATCTTAGCGCCAGATGAAGGGGGAATACAAATCTTCAGTAGGATTTCAACTGTAACTCTCCCCCCAACAAATACCTCAGTCTGCTTCCAATTAGTTCATTTGAGTAAATCTAATGCTCCAGTTTATACATGTGGAGCAGGCGTATGGTAACGTTTCTATTAAACAAAATTAACTTTTGTTTGGGAGTTGAGCCCTGCCGGATGTGTAATCTGAACCTTTGAGGATGTGATGGAGAGCAAACAGGGAAGGTATTAGTGAGGTTTATCTTAGCAGCTCCTCTCCTCCTCCCTCTCACTCTGTTAATGTGCATGACTGATCCCTCCTTTAATTCGCCAAGCTACATGTTCAGTCTTCAGCCTGTGGATGCGTATGAGAAAAAAGCTCTTACTTTTAGACTTGGATCTCAAATGAAAAAGTTCTGAGATTAACATATATTTTACACTCACTGTAGTTTTCGAGATATGAAAACAACTTATTCATGTGACGTAAGCACATGAGAAAGATACAGATGAGTTTTTTATTTATTATGTATATGTTATATGTATATAATATAAAGAAAAAAATGTGAAGGAAATACATTCGAAAAATGTATTAATTAAAAATTTGACATTTCTGTTTGGACAGAATCTGAAAAATATTCTGTTTTCAATATAGATAATGTCGTCCTATACTGAAAATATATGTTAAAATTAATAGGATTCTTATAGGTGCCACCTGAAAAGTTTGAGAAATGTATGTGGTGATAAACGGATACACAAAATGATTTGTGTATGTGTTTGATGGGTTTCTCACTAAAGGGGAGGTCACACTAGACTTTGAGCACTCAAAATTTCTTTGGACACCACAAAAGTCACGATATGATGTCATGCTGTGCAGCATTTTTTTTTAAATATATAAATGAAACATAACAAATAATAAAAATTCTAAAATTACAATGTACTGCACTTTCCTGTAATGCTACAAACCTGCAGCTTTAAAGCTTGTTATTTTAATTTACATCGTGATGTATCAGTCTTCTATTGATCACACGTCTTCACTTGATATGAATTTACAGGTCAGAGTTTACCAAACTTGAACTTTGGAATGCAGCGAAATGCAAAAGTTCAGGTGAGCTTACGTTCCCAGACTTCATCTTTTGCATTCATATCAATTGTAGTTAATGAAATAAAAAGTGTATTGTGACCGGCGACCACCCCTTAATATGTTGTACTTATATGTACAGGGCAACTTGTATCCAAACAAAACAGCATGTTGTATGAATGTGTGCATGTTTCCTATAAACATTTAGGGAAAACTTAATTTCCTTTTGAATCACATCCATATTTCTCTTAATAGATATACCTGCATTTATCTTTTACATGTCAATGTAAAAAGCTGCTTTCACCGTATGACAAAAAGAGATATATGGTCAAACATATATCTCATTCTTTGTTGTAAGGAAAGCTCTGCAGATGCCTTGAATCTGAGTACAGTTGACATCAGTTGTTTTGGACCCCATTGACTTTCACTGTATGAGCAAAAATAATTTAAACATTCCTCAAAATATCTTTTTTTGGGTTGCGCAGAAGAAAGAAAGTTATACAGGTTTGGAACGACATAAAGGTCAGTAAATGATGACAGAATTTTCATTTTTGGGTGGACTGTCCCTTTAAGTGTCTAAATAGTTTTTTGGGGACACTGTATCTGCCTTTGTTTACCTGACTGGCAGGTATGGCATCTTTAACGTTGAAGTAGAAACCAAAGTAGATCATGTTGAAAATGCCATGCCGTCCAAGGGTGGAGGTCAGGCCCTTATTAAGGCCACGGAGGCCAAAGCCGTCTGCGTTTATAATAGTTCTGGCCTGTTCAAACGTAGAGGGTTGCTGCATGGAGAAACACAGAGAGCAAAAACATTAGCACCCTCAAAATGAATGACCAAGACATTTTGTGACAAGACAAAGGCAAAAACAATAGCAAAACGAGAATCAACAGCTGTAGCCTCTTACCACTTTGAATGAATCCCTGTTGGCCTGTAGGCTCACTTTCACTACTTCAAATGGATTTACAACCAGTGCCTCGGTTAACCCTGACCCCAGGCCAGCCACAGAGAGAGCCTAGCATATTGAAGCAGGCAGAATTACATCACAAGAGAACATGACGCCACATGACAAACGAGAAAGACACAAAGAGTTTAGTGAAAGTCGTTCTGTGTTTAATTCAGAACAGACGAAAGGTATGTCACACAAGTCTCATAACTCAAAGGAACAATGCTACTGTGACACTTCTTCTTCAGAAACGTGTTTGTCCAGACGCAGAGTTTGACTTTAACCTACAAATAAATGAATGAAACTGCCAGCGTCAATCATTCGCAGGGGTTAGAAAGGAAACGCAGACAGGAATCAAAGATGAATGAACCGGCTCAGACAAAATGACTGAGACAAAGACAAATTACTTCATTTGTTGCAATGACAGATCAACTCAACTGTATGATGGAGCAAATGGTTTCATATTTTCATACAAAAATGAAAAGAGGCATCGACTCTACCCCAAATTAACAGCAGTGTTCACTTTAACATAGTTATGATTTAGTCATAGATTTTTTTTCTACTTTGATGAAAATGTCATTTTTTAGTTTAGTCCATATTTTGCCACACCATCCATCCATCCATCCATACTAAAATGGCACAATTTTAATGTATGAAAATAACGTTTTAGTCGACAATGTAAAATATTGCTGATCATATATCTATATACCGGTATATATGGCCAGAATTATTGGTAAATTACCAAAGATGGCAGTAAAAATAAATCTGCATTGTGTATCCTTTCGATCCTTATACACACACAATATAAATATATTATATCATGTTCTATTTATATTATATATAATATCTATTTCTTCAACATCAACTGAACTGAATCAATTTAATCAACTAAATTAATTTAAATAAATGTTTGAATTAATTATAATTAATCATGCAGATCCGTTTTATGTAGATACACTTAATCATTAATTAGAAGTGATTAATGTTGCTATAAAAAATTAAATAAATGTGCGGTTGGGTTTTACTTTTATGATTTCCATTCAAGCACTTGACCTGTATGTCAGCAGGCTTCCGGCCTACTTGAAGAGTGACAAAGGAGATATTTGAGTGTGTTTGTATAAGGTAAGCTGGGGATAGTACACACCCACACCCTCGATTAATACCTCTAAAATGTGTGTGTGATGATTACACTCGCAAATTTAGTCTTTTTGTGTTTGTGCATGCGTAGCCATGTATCCATGCTAGTGCATACATACACTGCAAGTCAGTGTGAGAGCTTCATTACTCATTTCTGTCTCAAAACCCGACATCTCCTTGACCGTGTTTACAGAGCCAGCCATCCGCTCTTTCGATTCTTATTTGTCATATTACCGCATACATCTGAATCAATCATACGAGTCATTTCATCTGGGCCGGTGGGGGGAGGAGTCACAGCTCAATCGCTCTCTTGAATTCACTTACAGATGTGCAGACGCTCTCACTCATCCTCTCCGCCTCTCACACACTCCATACATCACTCTTCCCAGCGCCTGTGGGCTCTGTGTGGATTGACATCTCAAGCTAGTGGGCGGAGACAGGTGTGATTGATAAGGCAGGTGAATGTTTTGCTCGACAAGGCTGTGGATTTGGGATTCGCCCTCGGGCTCAGCCGTCAAGCCTGCTGCCACACTGATAGACTGCTGTCAAAGTAATGGGCTATCTCTCACACGCCTCGCTGAGGAGCATTTGTCTCGATTACACCTCGTTCCCGCTGCCAGCACGCCATGTAATGAGGAGAGTGCTTCGCTTGACTGTGAATGTGATTGCGTGTATAGTATCAATGACTGTGTGTGTGTGTGTGTGTGTGTATCTCGCTTGTATCAGATGACTTACCAGGCCGGGTGATAAAGGACTAAAGCTCAACAGCTTCTTGTACTGCTCAAAGGTAAAAAACTGCAAAGAAGATCAGGACAACCTGTCAGGAAGTGTTTTCAAACGCTACATACATTCACATACATGCACGCAGACAAGATGAATGCTCACACCCAAAGCAAACACAGCTCAACTGTAGTGAATGAGAACACTCAAGCTGTCAACATGACACTGCGCAAATATAAATGCACACACAGACGATGGCGTATAATTCTTTATATTAGTAAGGCTTTGCTCAGCTTGACAGATATTAGATAATAAAACATTGAGTAAGACTGATGGATGCCAGGGCCTGTATAGTACACCAAGCCTGTTTAGTAGCTTTAAAATCAACAAATGTGGAGCGTCAAGTAAATTCATTGATCAGTGTTCAAGGAATTGAAAATTCTGTCATCATTTACTCACCCTCATGTCGTTCCAAATCCGTCTTACAAAAGGATTTTTGAAAAATATCCTGGCCACTATTTCAATATAAAGTGAATGAGAACGGGGTCCGCCAAGCTCCAAAATGACAAATGTGGCATTAAAAAATGGGTTAAACGACATGAGAATGATTACATGATGACATTCACATTTTCATGTGAATTTTAAGGTGGACAAACCCTTCATGGTAAACTGTTAAAGCTTGTTGAGTCTACCAATCCAGGACTTTCCAATAATGGAATTAAACCCCTTCCAGATGTTGTTTTAGATTAGAAAAGTGAGACATTAATGTGCTCGCCCTCCTTTCAGACACCCATAACCAACGGCCTAAAGCCACAGTAAGTGTTCATATAAACTCAAGAGTGCACCAACGGCCTAAAGCCACAGTAAGTACTCATCTAAACTCAAGAGTGTATATATGTACTGTTTATACATGATACTAAAGTGAGGCCGGTAGCAATCTCTGGCCATGTAGGTCAATATTGGGAGTTCTCAACGGCAAACACATGTGGCATGAATACAAACATAGAGAGGGGATGAGTGTTTTTGATCCTCCTGGATAGAGCCGGTACATTGAGGGCAAACGTATGTGGTCTGTGTGTATATGTTTACACTCGGAAGGCCAGGTTGCAAAGATCAGAGCATCTATGGTTTAAGTGATGAGTTTAAGCTCGAAGTCAAATGTGGTTCCTGTTACCTTCACTGCTCTCTTTGGGGTCTCGGCCAAAATTGGGGGAAGGATTCCCTTGTAGAAGCCATACACTCTGTTGAGGAAAAGACATCACTTATTGGAGTTTGAAAAACATGATAAATAAATAAAGATTTATGGACAAGCAACATTTAAATGTCTATTTGGCCAATTATGTATGCAGTAAAGAAACAAATGGAAAAATGTTTTTGTTTGTTGTTGTTTTTTTACAAATATTGTTGTGCTGACTGCATTCATTAAACTTAACTATGATTAACCAAAGAAAAAAATGACTCAAACAAAACAACGAATCAAACTACATTTAGACATTTTGGTAACAGGTCAGGAAAAAATGGTCACCTCATATAAAAAGAACAGAAAATGAAAAGGTTAAGCACCTACTTTCACTATCACCGTTGGCATAACAGGCTGATAAAGTGGACTGTGAAAAATGTTGGATCAGTGCGTTTGCAGTTTCAATTTCACAAGTAATGAAAAATATTTGCTGCATTTAGACAGTGGGACAGATAATGGTCACAGTGTGTAATTGTAGTTCAAATATTTTTATAATAATAATAATATTGAATATTTTCCCCATGTCCATTAAATAAGTGCAAACATTTATAAAAAAATAAATAAAGTAAACTTCTTTAGCTGTTAAAATTAATCCCTAACTGGGATTAAATTAAATACAGGCTTAACTCTAAAAAAAGATGGTCCTTTAAAAGTTCTTTACATGTAGTAACAGTTCTATTTAGAACCGTATCGTTCTGAAGAACCCTTCATATGCTGAAATGGTTCTTTGTGTTAGAGTTCAGAGCTCTTATTCCCGCCTTTTTGTTTTTCAAATCTGTAACTGTTAAAGCCACCTTTTTACTGATTTCCTGGAGCTCAGCTATACAACTACACAGACTGTCAGCATACTCTCAACAGGTAAATGATTTCATTCTTAAAATGTCTATAAATTATAACTTTAAAAATTGTAACAATCGTTTCCTAACAATCATGTCTTTTTCTCGTTTTAGTTTAACAAACATGTAAGTGTGAGCAGCTCTGTTCAGTTAAGGATACTCATCTTCTCTTCTCCACAAAGTAAGTAACAGATATGGAATTTATGATCCATATTGTTTGATTTTTTTCTTAATAATGACTTTATGCCATACCCAGTCACAAAAAACATTAAAGATATCCCATAACTTTATATCACTTTTTCCTTTTAACATGGTAAAGGGCTCATACAGTATACTGTCCATTTTTGCTAATTTTAGCCTTCATGAACAAATTGTTTTTACATAATCAAATGGAAGAGACACGATGTAACTCTAAACTAAATTGTGTATTTCAGATGCTGTCACGTACCATAACCTCCTCATCTGCAGAGAGAAACTCAGAATACACATATAATGAAGGACGTAAAGACAGAGGAGTGTGAAGATATTTTACTGGAACTTGGTCTTCATTACATCTATATCGTGTTCAATGTCAATTGTTATTTATTAATGTATTCAGCTAACAACTGTACTGTAGAGCACTGTCATTTTTACTACAATCTGCCACGTCAAGAATAAAAAATAAAAGTACCCAATTGACACAACATGCTGTTTTTTATGTAAAACCCAAATAGAGGCATAATAAGACCAGGCAGATAGAGGAATAAAAAACTATTTTAATACATACTATATAAAAATAATAGTAATATTAATAATATTCATAATATTAATGAAAATAAATATTGCTGAAAAGGTTATTTATAACACCATTAAGGGATATAGCACTTTCAAAGCATGGTTCTTTATGGAACCTTATAGAAAGGGTTCTACTTAGCACCAAAAAGGGTTCTGCTATTGTTACAAGCCGAAGAACCCTAATTTGGTACTGTTTAGAACCATTTTTCTAGAGTGTAGAATTAAAATCAAGCAGATTTAAATGTAACCATTTATTTATTTAGAGCTTTAAGGTTTGGCACAACTGAATGTTTATCTTAATCCTTATTGGTGCAATCCATACAATGTGTTAAGGTGGCTTAAGTAAATGACCAGGGGCCTATACCATGAAGCCGTTTCAGTTTAGTTTGCACCACTGATGTCACACTTTCACGTGCATGCGCTCCAGGAACTCAGGATCAAAGCCTGAAAGTTGCCATATAGGAAGTTGATGATCAGCATCATGATACCAACAAAGCCGGATTTGATTGGTTTGGTTTTGTCATCTCAAAACTGATCCCATAACCAGTTTGTTCAACTACCATCATGATACTAACCCCATGTAGCCTACAGAGATGTGACTAATACTATATTTACAACTATTTCCCATCCTGACCCATGGTGCCACACAGGAATGCTGAATCCTACTTTGATGTGCCAATTCTATGGAAATCCACCCCCATTATCATGCATTGAGCTCAGCTTCGGTTGTAAAGCATTACTGTTTCCAAACCAGAACAGGTTAAACTGGTCTAAACACACAAACAAGCATTTATAAATGAAAAACAAAAGGAACCAAAGGAACTACATTTCTAGGTTTCAAATGTCTAAAAAGCTCGAGACATTGAGTCAAATCCTCTTCAGGTGTTTGTGTCAAAATGGGTGCGATTCTTTAGCTTGCCTTGTGCTATATAATTAATAATGAGTTCATAAGAAAGTGTAACTGTCATAGTATTGCTTAAAAAAAAACCCTGTAAAGGGATACTTATCAGATTTTAGTGTTAGAACAGCAAATAGAACTGTAACCCTCGACAGGTGTCTGTACGATAAGCAAATTAACCAAAAAACAGTCTTTGTCTTTCAACAGCATCATCTAATATCTTTTCTCATTTGAATCTACTTAGGGGGCCGTTTGACGTAAAGCTTTTTATGTGTTTTGGCCATTCTTTTACACGACAACCACATTTTGGGGGCCTGAAAATGCAAACTTTTGAAGACAGGTTACAAAGTGCAAGTTTTTCCATTTCATTTCAAGTTATCATTTCTGTGTAAACTACAAAAACACGAATTTCGTGAAAACGGTGACGTCATGCACATGCGTATTACGTGTTCAGTCTATAAGCGTGTGTGAATTGTAATCATTTTGCCAATGGTGTAGTCTGTACGAGAAAGGAACAAAGGAAAAACGTTTCTGTTTTTAGTGCATCGTTGTCGTGTAAACGTGCCCTTAGAAAGCTGAAATAAATTTGAATTAATCTAGATATCTCCATAACTTATATCAAGACTACTTGTGTTGGCTAACCATGTTGTAACTTTTTAAGAGAACAAAATGACTTTTTATGTGTGACAGTCCAATATTTTATTTGAAATATTATAGTATGTGATGGACATTGACATCCTGCTGAAGCCAACGGTGTCCAAAATAAGAGTCCGTATTTTGAGATTCCAGTCTGATCAATGCTTCGGGCCACTCTCACCACCCCTAAACGCAGACATGTGCACTTTGAGAAGCAGACATTGTTTGGAGAGCACGTGCACTTTTTCTGAAGCTGAAACCTGACTCTGTTTTGCTTTCTGTCAATCTGAGAGTCAGGACAAGCCCGAGCAGGCGAAACACCTGAGCTTTTCTTTTCCCTTCTCATTCTCTCATACAAAAACTCTGCAGTATGGTAAAGAGCTAACATTTACCTAGGATTGTGCGTGTAGTTTCAGTATATGTCAAAAAGGTCAGTCATTGGATTTATTGTGTGGTGATACAATAGGTTAGTTGGATGGTTAATGCTGATGCTTGAAATCATCAGGTCACTCTTTTTAGAGCTGTATTAGCCAAACTTTATTAAAGACTTGCTTTTATGCTTTGAAGTCCACACAGTGTCCATTTAAGAACTAAAATTAAGAATGAGGACTATACTCTTTTGTTTAGAACTTGGTTTATCTGGAAACATAAAAAATATAGATTAAATATGGTATTAAATAAGTGCAGTCATAAGTATTTTAACGAATAATTTAGAAAACATTCAATAAAATATCATAAATCAATAAAATGTCAATTAATAACATGATACGCTTAATATTCAAATTAATCCAGTTAAACTGCTATCAATATCAATAATTTGGAAACACTTAAGCCACAATACAGTTTGGTTTGTTAACATTAATAACAATGCATCAGAAATCATAAACTAACAATGGACAATACTTTAACAGCAATTATTAAACTAGGTTATTGTTAATTTTCTTTCTACATCTACAAATACATTTGTGACATTTCAAGTTTAAAGTACAGTACATGCATACATGAATGAAAAAAGGCATTACAATATTTATAAATGAATCTACAAAACAGTTCAAAAGTTTGGGGTCAGTAAGATATTTTTTTCTGTTTGTTTAAAAATGAATAGTTTTATTCAGCAAAGATGGATTAAATTGATCAAATATGTCAGTAAAGCTTTTTTATTTCAAATAAACCATTTTCTATTGAACTTAAATATATAAAATATTTTATAAATATAATTAAAACAGAAACACGTTATTTTATATTGTGGTAATATTTACAATATTACTGTTTTTACTGTACTTTTACTGTTTACTTTTGAACAGTGGTGTGTAGATTAATACATGCGTTAAAAATGGTTGTTGTTGGATGTTAGTTCATGATACTTAATGGATTAATTAACTGTAGAGCTTTTTTGAAAAAACAAGTCATTATAAAAACAGATTAAATTGGCATTACAAAAAGTGTCCTTTCGCCTGCTCTTGATAAGCACCAAGAGGAGTGATCTTTTATCTTCCACAAAAGAAAGTCACACAAGTTTTAGTTTAGAACAACATTAGGTGACAGAATTTTCATTTTCATTATCCCTTTAAAATGAACAGCCTTACTAATAACTGCTTTATATCATGTAACATCCATTTGTGTGTGTATGTGTGTGTGTGTGTGTGTATAAGAGTGTTGATACATCCCGAGAGGGGGTGGCGAGAATGAAACAGATTTCTCAGTATCAGTTCTAGCATGTATTGATATTGAACACACGTGTGTGTGGACAGGGTGGACAGAGTAGCGTGACAGCTGCATGTGAACTTCTGTCGTTGTATTGTGAAAACATGCCCCAGTAGTCAACAGAGATGTCCTCGGCTGATTTAGTTGGGGTGTAAATATTATCGTTTCTGCGAACAGAGATGATGCGATTAGCGCGAGCAAATTTGCCCACGCCGTGACCGCCACTCTGAAAGCTCTGACCCACGGCTAATTACTACGACACATCTCATCGGATGACAAACAATCTCTATTTCACCAGCCTCACGATGTGTCAGGTGTCACAAGCCTCACTTGTCTGGTGAAACGGCAACAGAGAGGCATTGTGTCAAATGAAAGTGTCTGGCAGAGTGGGCTTTTGTCTGGCCGAAACGGAAGCCCCCCCTCCCGTCGCCCCCCTTGCGGCGCATGCAAAGGCCGGCCGCGTGTTTCCCGGGTGTGGTCAGTCTAAGAAACATCAGGTGGTGAGATAAAGCTCCAATTTGTTACACACGCACTTAAGACCCCATTTGACTACGCCTGGTTTGACTATCCCTGAATGCCAATTTGACTCTAAATGTAAGCACGCAGTTGGACCTCATAAGCAAATGCTCACACATTTAGGTACGTGTGGGTCCAGCTGCTGGAGTTTGTATAGGTGTGATTTGTCTTTTATTTGCATCAAACCCCATTTCTTCCATTCAACTCATAGCCACATCCTTCAACATAACAAAAGGAGAGGAAGGAAATGATACATTAACCAAATTGGATAATGAGGTAAAATGTTTCATCCCTGTTATAGGGGCGACCGTCAATGAATCACAGGGCTGACGGGGAAACGTATGGAATCTTTACTTTTCGGTCTTCATCAGCTGTAAGAACGTGCACAGTTGCAATCTTATACTGCCGAGGATACGGTGGCCCGGGGGACTTTGAGCTCTACCTGTTCTGTCCCTTGTCAACAACCTGAATGCTTGATCTGCAAATATTGTCACTTGCCTCTCGAGACTTTACCCTTGACATTGGTTCGGGAAGGCACAACAGTTCTAGCCTCGTAAATCAAGGAGTGAGGACATGAGAAGCATGCAGGGACGTTTCATGTGCTTTTGCTTGAAATCAAACAAGACAGACAGAGTAAAAGGAGCACAATCTGCTAATTGCCTGCAGTGATTACTGCAGAAGAAGTAGCTTGGAAACTGATCGGATCATTTGAATTTGAACTACAGGAGATACTGACATGTAATCATTTGTATACTATTAACACTATTATTTCATGAAATATTTCAAATGGGGGCAAATATGTGATGACTATATTGGTTTCTTACAGGGGTTCATCATTATGTCTGATACACAAAAGTATCAATACAAAATGGACATCAAATCTGCCATACTTTACTGTAGGTTTTGTCTAGTGAATGTGGATCATTTCAGGGCTTAAAGCCATAAAAGATAAATATGGGTCTTAATAATAAAAATACAGAAAAATAAAAATACAGAAAAAACAGTAATATTGTTTTTAAAATAATGGTTTTCTATTCTAATATACTTTAAAATATCATTTATTTCTGTGATGCAAAGCTGAATTTTCCAGTCTTCGGTGTCACATGATCCTTCAGAATTTATTTGACCGGTACTGTAAGATAAATGTATGTAATGTAAAGGAACATAAGCCTTTTATTTTTATTTTTTACGTTTACAGGAAACATTCATACAACATTTCTGTTTGGAAACTGGTTGTCTGAACATAATCAGAACCTTCAAACGAATCTACTATAAAAACTATGCGTTAATCACCAGATATATGCATTTCTGTGTATTTTTAATAGATTAGTGGAAGCAGACAAAAAACTTTCTATTCATCAAAGAATCCTGAAAAACACCCACGTATCATGGTTTCCACAAACATATTAAGCAGCACAACTGTTTTCAACAATGACAATAATAATAGGAAATGTTAAAAGCAGCAACAAATCAGCATATTAGAATGCTTTCTGAAGGATCATGTGACACTGAAGTCTGGAGTGATGATGCTGAAAATTCAGCTTTGCCATCACAGGAATAAATTACATTTTATAATATATTTAAATTGTAATAATATTTCACAATATTAATGTTTTTACTGTATTGTTTTTTTAAAAAGGTGAGAATGAGATTTCTTTCAAAAATCTTACAGAACGATAGTGTAAACTTACTCAAGAGGTCTGCTTACCTGATGCTAAAAAAATTCTATAAAATCGCTGACCAAGACATACTGTAAAATAATTATGCACAATCAAGCTATTTAAATATGTGATCTAAAACTATTAGTACTGTCTTTCTATGATGATTCACACATGCTACATTATGACGCAAGTGAACGTTCATAACATTTCAAGTAGACTCCGAGCCAATTCACAGACGGATCTCCAGCTCTGAACTAATTGGTGTGTGGAAGCCGAAGGGCTCGGGTTTCTACCGCACAGAGGGGAAGACCAAAGCAAAATACGGACCGAGAGTGAAAGTGCAATGCTGGCCCATACAGCAAGAGCATGTTTATTTTCAATAATAATTCCACAACAGTAACTCCCACCACCATTTGTGTAAATTAAAACTAAGTGGTTCAGCCTGGGGCTGATCATGCTACCGGCTACTGTGTGGCGATTCCAGCCACAGCACAAACAGACGGAGGGTGATAATTGGTTTAGAAGAAAGAAGAGCCATAATCTGCAGGGGAGGCCTGCGGGATGCAGCCGATGACAGCTCCGCAGAGAGCGAAAGCTGGTGTAGGATCTCACACTGCCAGCGTCACCTAGGACCGCACGCGCACATATATTTTCACACCTTGCTGCGGATCAGCTTTAGATCCACTGTAAAGCTGTCATCTAGCCATAAACAGAGCTTTCTTTCAAGTCTGCACACTGTCTAGGATCTGACACGTGCCTCATGTTGTGTGCTGGAGGGAGGGGAGGAAAAACTGAAAGGAGGGGAGGGGGAGGGGTGGGGAAAAAAAGAGGAGAGAGACAGAAAAAGATAAATCTCTGCCTCAAGCGCACTACGTCATATGTGTGATTTCCTAGGAACAGAGGCAGTTAACACGACACATGTGGAGCATGCCACTGCCAATGCATAATATAAACCTATGGTGGACTATGGTGGGTTTGAAGTTTGTCATTTTTGTACACCAGGCTTATTGCTTTTACAAAGCTCAAAACATTCCCTGTCACCTGGCGTATGTTGTTACCATGCATACAACAGACATGTGTGCATAGTTTAGTTTACACTAAATACATGCTGAAAACAGTAGATGACAAGTACTGAAAAGAAAACATTACAAACCAGAAGTGTCATGTGTCAAAAACGGTAATAAGAATAATTTAACATTTTAAAAGTTACAAGTTAAAGTAAAAGATGCATTTTCAGACTATACCATCTTCCTAAATATTCCTAAAATATATATATTTTGTTTTGGTCATGTTTTATTTCACATTGAACTTATTGAGGCAGGACTGGTGCATGGTACTGCTGATAGAATATATATAAATTGAAATTATACATGAAATTGTTGACATCAGAGATCGACAGATATTTGAATAGGATGGCAATATACAGAAAGATAAATTGATAGACAGACAGACAGGCATTTATAACTTACCCCTCAGTGCGATATATAGTTCTGAAACAGTCTCCAAGGCCTTTATAGCTATTTGGGTCACCTTTCCCTCTTTGGATTTGAAACCTGAAAACCACAAGACAAGATTCACAATAAATATTAATTCACAAACCTTTATTTTAGAAATATTAAACTAACTTTTCCAACCAGTGAGCACTGTTCCAAGGACAGCATAATACTGGTTTATAATCCAAATTATAAATATCCATTCATCCATCCATCAAATAATTTTATTACATCAGAAGTCTTTTAACTTATTTTTCATAACATAATTTTACCATATTCTCCCTCTAAACATAATATATTTCATGTTTGTAATGGCTACACATCACATTTGAGATCGTCCAAAATAATGTCCACAAGGAAAATAATGATTAAGAATTCATAAATTCTGGAAAACATCACTACCACGCATACATTATGTTCAACATTCCTCTGCTTAAATGACAGAGATCATAGAGCATGACCACCATATGCTATCAATTATCTGTGTGCAAGAAATGTGGGACACTGGCAAATCTGCACAAAGTGTCGACACAAGTCTCAGACGTCTGTCAAAATCCAAATCGCTCCTTTCTCCTGCTCTTACCTTCTGTTCTTTTAGAGGCGGAACTGACTTTCTCGGTCCCTTTAGCACAGCGGAGAAGTCAAACATTTACTTAACCCATCCTTACCAATTAGCTTTGCTTCTTCTATAGCCATAGACCTTGTAGGTGCTAACTTTGCCGCTAACATGCTAATAACCTGCTGGTAACAGTTCTGCAGTTCTGTGTAAATTTTTTATACGATACAAATGGTCAAGAGATGTTTTTGTAGCAACAAGCATGCTAGTAACACCCTAATAAAGGCCATACTGAACCATGTAAATGTTTAACGTGGTACCAGCGCTGAGCGCAAGTTTGGGGAAAAAAGGATTTACTGCTCCCCTCCTCATGCAATATAGACGTTTTAGCGGGAAGAAATGGACAAAGCAACTGTAGGGCCTTTGGTACTTTGACACCACATACTATTATTTGTTTATAGGCTGACATGCCACAACAATTTACTAGTGGTTCAGGTTGGGTATCTTTTTGGGCACACAGAGACGATAAATAAATCAACCTTTGCCCTCCAAGTGTAAATAGATGAACCCAGACCAAACTCAGAGTGGAAGACATAGAATGAGAAAGATTCTCCTCATATGGCTTTGACTGCCAGGTCAAGAGGTCAGCAGTAAGTCATCCAGGCGGGTGCCTGATGGGACCATAAAAGTGCCCTGGTTCCATCGGATGAGGGGGTTTACTGAGGTGAGCAGCCTTTCATATCGGCAACAGATTAACATCTTAGAGGGGTGTCCCCAGCATCCAATTTTGTAGATTCCCAAATAGCTTGTAACCCGTGCCTAAGAACCAGTTAAAAAAGCATCATAAATGAACGTCCAACACCATATTAAAGAGAAAGAAGAAAAGAGGGTCTCTGAAACGGCAGGCAGTCAAGTGAGGGAGAATGCAGGGATTGGGGCACGCAAAAGGATGGGGCACCGAACCAAAAGATTTAAGATCAGTGGAGCTTGTAAACAAATTTAAATCAGTCTTAATTAAAGGCACATGAGAGCAAGGTCAAGGAATGAAGACGGCCTTGTCCCACCAATGCCAGAGTTTCAATTTCTGCAGTACACTGGGATGGCCCAACCCACACTAGCCCAGAGGTGGCAGGGCCACGGTCCGCTTTCAGCTGCCTGACTCCGCTGTTGACCTCGGGGTCACCTCATTTCCTCATGCCCCTTGCCTACCCTGCCATAAAAGCCTTGGACCAAATATCACGGCCTGGGGAGTGAAAGATAATGGGGAAGATTTGGCAGCAGAAGATGCCTCTGGATTCTCAGAAAGAGTCACCCAGATTCTGGAAGATGTTTGGAATGGAAAAGGAGCTGTAGATAAGGTAAACCTTCCTGTATTTGAATGAACTCTCTAACCAGAAAATTAGGAGTGCACATTCAGACATATTTGGAGACCTATATCGAAAGAGTTCACAGACTAGAGAAGAAGAGTCAAGGGTTGATTCAGTCGGCCTTGCAGCCAGGCTCCCGGTTGTAAAGTCAACAAACAGAGGAACTGCGAAAAGCCCAAGGGTTTTGTTAAAATATCCAGCTCTCAGAATCCCTTTTAAAGTAAACCTAGAAAGTAAAGATATACTTGCAGGTGACGATATCTGTGAGTTCATCAAAAACCTCCAATGACCTTCTGTACTCTGTTTTAATAGGACCAGAGCACCATCTTGGATAGCCAGGTGAGGGTGAAGGTAAGGCCAACATGGAGCTTCTACGGGTGAAATGAGCACCAGGGGGTAAATAACCCTACCATCTCCACCTGACCCCAAACTCCCTGTAAAATGCGAACTCTGAACATTCTGACAGGAAGGTAAATGAGAATAAAGAGCAGGAGAACACCTCCTCTTTGTATTTTTATAGAGAGGAGTGAAGTGTTTCAGGTCCAGGCCGAGCACTAGGGCCTTGTCCCCTCTCAGACCCCGTACCAGGTCCGACAGGGGGGGCTGTGCCCCGCTGGAAGACAAGCTTGATGGGTTGAGGCCTAATAATGATGGTGTTAAAAAAAGCCCTGTGGGAAGGCCGGGAGGTTACTGGGTTGATCAAAAGACTTGAGTCTGATGGGTTTGCCTTTTTAAGGGCCAGGCCAAACTTTTAAAAAGGTCTCTTAAATTTGCCTTGTTAAATATAGGGGTATTCCCCCAAAGAATGGAGCATGGAGTGGGAACTGCATTATTTCATTTATGACTAAAATATCAACCCTATGATAAACAAGGTCCCATAAGCGAAAAACCATCCTGCAAATGTGCCATTTATAACTTTTGCAGGACTTCCTTTTTACAACTGAAACTGTGTGACTGCAGTTGTGGCAGGAACATTTTTAAACAGTTGGCATTTGATATTGACGTCTATGTTTCCAGTCTGGTACAATGATAACCAAAAATTATGTGGTATACACAAGGCAAAAAATTACCTGCAAAATTATTTTACATTTAATACTAGTACATTTTTGGCAACATATTTTCTTCAATCACTGAACGAATGAACAATTAACTGTTTTTCAATTACAAGAATAGAAGTGGAACAAATATCACTATAGCTAATCTCTTAATAATGGTATTTATTGCTTTCAATTATTCAGTCTTTAATTCTTAGCCATGTTAATATGTTTTCCATTTGCTGCCTCTGAACCAACAACACTTTCATCAAGAGCTGAAATGAAAGTAAAATTAGAAAAAGCGAAACACACACGTGAGCAAGGTTTCTTTTACACACAATCAGTGGTGCATAAGAGAATCCAGAAGGCAGCATTAAAAGGAAATCTATTTTTTACAGCCAGACAGTTAATTTTAATGAGCAGGATCATAAAGATGGCAGACGTCCATTGCAATGGTACGTGAGGTAAAACCTCTCTAACCTAAATGCTCCAATATGGCAGATGCCGACATCCAATCAAACAGCAAGGACCAATCGACCGTCTGTGATCATGCTACTCATGAATATCAAACAGTGGTGTGGAACTACATTAATCGGATTGTATGCAAGCAAAACACCATTTACTTGAGCAGCGGGGTGAATATAAACGTAAAACCAATGAAATGCAATGCTTTTGGGAAACCACAGGAACATTTCTCTCTTAAATTCTCGATAGACATACGTAGCTACTTTCCTCTGTTCTTTTGGCTTTCCAGGCTAATACCACTGGGCCCTTGGCTGGAGGTGGCCTATAAAGCTGAGCCTTTGGAGGGAAGGAGATAAAGCAGAAGAGAAAATGGAAGATGGGGCAAAGGGGAAGTGATAAAGTCATGGCGCTTGTGACACCACATGCTTCCAGGTCTCGGTCTGGGATAGGACAGCTTGGGTTTCAGCGGCACCACAGGCCAACTGGACCCACTGTGACTGGGGCCCAAGGAGATGGGGGGGGGGGGGGGGGGGGGGGCATTGACGTCCTCAAGATGACGAGTTAGACATCCCACAAATGGTCCCCTCTCATAGTCTGATTTGCCCCAAACTCTGGCTGACTTCCAAAGTGAGACACAACATTTTAAGACATTCCATAAGCATTGATCAGCGATGTGTAAAGCGACAAAAAAAAAAAACTAATTAGTTGGTTATCTGCACAATTAGTTGGCTGAATGGTCCTAAGGAAGCTCTGAATAAAGATTCAGGTTTCGGGTTCAACTGTCCCAATTGGACACATTTCTTACAAAGCTTTTCCATAAAACACATCATCTCAAACGACATCAGATAGATGGAGTGCAATGGATGGAACAGAATATGTTTATAAAAGTTGCACTATTTCTGGCTTGACAAGCTTCAATGATACAATGGTCAAACATGATGCAATGGCCAAATCTGTCCAATTGTAGCGGTGTTTTAAAGTGGTTAAATTTCAAATGGTTCACTGTACTGCATTGACTGTAACAGCTTAGTAAAGCACCAATTGATATAATATCAATTATATTTTTACACTAACATTAGTTATTATATTAGGTATCAGAATAAAAAACATTCTGCAATTTATTAGTTCCTGTTGAAGGCCCCCCAAAAAAATCATTTTCATAATTTATTTACCTCCATGTCATTCCAAACTTGAATGAGTTTATGTTGAACGTAAAATAATGTTTTGAGAAATGTCTCAGTGTTTTCAATGGTAACCAAAACTGTATGGTAACCAACATTCTTCAGAATACTTTATCTCCAAGAAAAGTAAAAATACAGCTCAATGTATTGTTAATATAAAATAATTTTCTGTATTGATGTTTCAATGTGTTGTGTTTTAGGGTTGAAGGAAAGGTCCTGACAGAAAATCACCTTTTCTGTTTTCCGTTTTTCTCCTCTCGTACAGTGTTCTTTTGTGTTTCAAAGAGGAAAGAAAGGCATACAAGTTTTGAACGACATGAGGATGATGAAGATTTTTTTTTTTTTCAATTTGGGGTGAAGTAACCCTTACATTTATTACTATAGACTACTATTCATTGTTCATGTTTTAATTGATTTATAAATCTTGAAATTGTCTAAAAGTGCTGCTCATTGTAAG